TTTGTATACCTTACATTAAAGTCATAATCTTGCAAGCGTAAATTCCATCTCTCAATTCTGGCTGGAGGTCTTGATTGTGGATTATTTAAAATCAACTCAACTAGTTTGCAATCAGTTATCAGAGTAAAATGTCTTCCGTATAGATAGATATGTAAACGTTCAATTGCCCACACAATTGCAAGAGCTTCTCGCTCTGTTTGACAGTATTGTCTCTCAACATCTGACAGCGAATGACTGATATATGCAACAACATTTCGTTGGTCTGATCCTGGGACTTTCTGTGTCAGAATAGCTGAGAGACCAAAAGGTGATGCATCAGTGATAAGTTCTGTTTCCTTGGTTTGATCAAAATATGCCATAACTGTCGCACTTGTGAGGACAGCTTTTACTGTGTTGAAGGATTTAGCATGCCTAGATGTCCAGCAAAAAGGCACATTTTTTCTTGTTAATTCTCGCCAAGGCTCTGTGAGATCACTGAAATTAGGGATAAATTTCGCACAATATGTCACCATCCCAAGGAAACTCCGAACAGCTTTAATTGAATTTGGAGGTGGGCAGTTGTGAATTGCTGAAACCTTCACTGGATCTGGTGAAATACCATCACCTGAGAATACAAAACCAAAAAATGTGAGCTGCGATTGACTGAACTCACAGGTTAATCCAATGAGAGAAAACCGCTCAAAAATTTCATGAAGAGCTTTGTCATGCACAGCTTGTGTTATGCCAAAGATAATTATGTCATCACTAATGTTGATGGCATTCGGAATGTCACAGATTTGTTCGCTAATTACATGTTGGAAGATTTCACTTGCCGAATTGGTGCCAAAATTCAACTTCTTGTAGCGATAGAGTCCTTTGTGCATTACAAATGTGGTTATGTGTTGACTTTCCTCAGCGAGAGATAACTGGTGGTATCCCGAGCGAAGATCAAGCTTTGTAAATATGGTGGATAACAATCTTTGGGATAACAACTAATGGACTGACCCAAGGAGTGGCATCTGATACTTTTTCAATAATTCCATCACTTTCTAACGTGTCGAGCGCATCTCAGACCTTTTGCCGCATGTGGAAAGGAATACGATGGGGGAGGGGTTGTGCTACTGGAGGACAGTATCATCAATGTGCAATTTAACTTCAAAATTTTTAAGAGTGCCAATTCCGTTAAACAGATGGGCATACTCTTTCATCAGTTGTTCATGGGTGGCATGTTCTGGTTTCACATTGTCAACATTCAGCATTAGACCCAAAGCAGATGCCGTTTGATAGCTTAGCAAACAACCAAAATTTCCTTTGATAACATGAACTTGCGTGGTGTTGCACCAGTCAAACATTCTAGAGTTGCACGAAATTGTCCCATAACAGGTAGCTGGTTTGTAGCTCCATATGCAAAAATACGTGTTTTGGAACGTTGAAGGGCTATGGGTCTCTGTTTTTGCAAGGTGTTGAAAGCAAGTTCATCAATGATGTCGATGGAAGCACCAGTGTCGATAACCATGTTGATAGGGGTGGTGTTGACCGAGATTTGAACCTGTGGAGTTGTTTTGTCTCTACATGTAAGTTTCAGAGTAAAAATGAATTCATCCTCATCATCAACATCTTGTGAACTTTGTTTTTGTGGTATTTTTTTTGAAGGCCTTTCGATTCTCTTGTTGACCGACGCGAACCTTGCGAGCACTACGACAGACTTTCGCAAAATGGTTTAATTTTCCACAGTTCAGACAAGATTTTCCTTTCGCGGGACAAATATTGTTGTTATGGGGCCAGGGCCCCCCACAATTCCGACACTCTGATGAGGTGTAAAAGTCTTGGCGGTGAAACGATGTATGTTGTTTATCACAATGGTTGTTATGTTTCATTGTAGGATGGACAGCTTCAACTACTTCGTCAGAAATATGTGTTGAGTCTAGTGCGTTTTCAATGCCGGTTTCCCGCGATTCACTGAGTTCAAAAGCTCTGCCTTTTGCGAGAATCTTGGCTAGTGTAACTTCCAAGTCAAGCAGGGCGTAGCGTCGTAGACGTTTCGATAAACAGTTTTGAATTATGGCCGATTTTACTTTCTTGTTGATATTTTCGAAGTCACAGGTTGCCGCCAGCTTCCTAAGACGAGTTGAAAACTGATTGATTGTTTCATGTGGTTGTTGTTTGGCTTCACGAAACTTAAAAATTTCAAAATCGACATGTTTTTTAGGTGAAAAATACGTATTGAGGGCAGCGATAGCGGAATCATAATCGTTGTCTTCGCCGATGTCAACAAGGGTATCAAAAATATCCTGAGTCTCTTGGCCAGCTTGGTACAACAAGAGAGCCCGCTTTTGTTTCTTTTCAGTCACATTCAGAGCAACAAGATATGTTTCAAATTGTCGTTTCCACGTTTTCCAGCGCTGACTGAGAGAGTTTGGATCGGACATAGGATCAAATGGCGCCATTGGAGCTACACTGATTCGGCCAGTCGCCATGACTGTATTCGTAAACTAGAGATTTCAAAATCGTTTGTATTGATAAACGATAGCTGTTTTTTTTTGTTTGTTTATCTCGTCGCCAATGTAATTTCCGTGGTTTTGTATCAATATCAAGCACTTTTAAGTTGTTTGATTTAACACAACTTTATTATGTTCGATCTTGAAATGCGAGAAATACAATGAGAAATACAAGAATTACAAGCAATATGAGCAATACAAGAAATACGAGAAATGCAAAAGTTTCAATAACAACGTGTTAGCCTGCAATACGGGCAGGAATCAGGCTAAGTTTTAGGTTTATAAGTCCAGTCTCCCGCGCGGCTTAATTACCCGACCTGACCGAGAGGTTTGGGTTCGAACATCCTCCCCGCTTCTCCAACGTGCTTGGAGAACTTTAATATCACTGTTCATTTTCTTAGTTGTTTTTAGTGTCTTTCCTTTCTGACGATGCGATTCTTGTTTCTTCAGATTAACCTCCCCGCAGTGTGGAACGTCCTTACTGGAATTCATGTTCATATTTTCAGCGACTTCGAGGCGATGTAATCTTTGCACCGGTCTTCGTAAGGTTCCCTTCCTCGTGCGCAAGGTAACTGCACGAATCAAACCATCATTTCCTGGATGTATTTGCTCAACACGCCCCATAGGCCATCTTCCTCGCGACACGTTATCATCAGATATCAGCACAACATCACCAATCTTAATTGAAGCCTCTTCATTAGTCCATTTGTGACGAACGGATAGCTTATGTAAATATTCATTTCGCCAACGTTTCCAGAAATGATTTACCAATTTTTGTTGATACAAGTACCTCCGAATAGTCCTCTCACTGTCTGTTAATTCGATCTCTTCCATCGCATCCGGTAGGTTCACCAGTGATCTTCCAATCGCTAGATGCGCAGGTGTAATAGGTGTATCGTCGTTGACATTATCACTCACGGTGGTAAGAGGTCTGCTGTTGATAACTGCTTCGATTTTAACCAACACTGTTGTAAGTTCTGTGAACAATAGAAGCGATTTACCCAATACTTTATGTAGAGGTTCTTTCACCGAACATACAAGTCTCTCCCACCATCCGCCTTGCCACGGAGCATGCTCAACAATGAATTTCCACTTTATTCCCTTGCTTGCAAGCTTAGCCATAACTTCATCTTGATTAATATGACTCCATAAATTAACTTGTATTGGATGACTGAGCCAAATAAAGCTTTCGGATCTTTTGCTCTGCAGATTTAAAGGTCTTGGTATTATCAGACCACATAGTTTTGCAAAGTCCTCTCCTACCGATCATACGACTTAAGGCTTGGAGGAATTCATTCGTTGACATATCTTTAACCAGTTCTATGTGCACCATGCGTGAAGAAGCACACGTAAAGATACACATGTAAGCCTTTTTTGGTGTCTTGTCGCATACATATAATGGCCCTGCAAAGTCTACTCCTACGTGGGTAAATGGTGGCGAAAATGAAACTCGTTCGTGTGGCAAAGGACCCATTTTCTGTGTCAAAGGACCTTTTCTTTGACATTGACAGGTAATAATCCAATAATCCTCTTGACTTTGCGTCTTCCCTTGGTCAACCAGATGCTCTGGCATAGAACGGAAAGAGTCATTTCAGGTCCGGCATGGAGTAATTCCTGGTGTCTTTTCTGGATGATCTTCTCTGTAAGAGGGTGTTCGTTTGGAATAATAACTGGATGTTTAGTGGCTTCAGGTAAGTCTGAATACTATAACCTCCCACCTACTCTGAGGGTACGACTGTTCTTATCAATGTACAGATCTAGCTTTAAAATGCGACTGTTCCGTTGTAACGTCTTGCCTGATGCTAATCTTTCATACTCTTCGGGAAAGGCTTCTTTCTGAATGTGATGATACCAAAGGGTTTCAGCATTTGCAATTTCATCAACTGACAATTCTTTAGGGCAATCATGCTTCTTTAATTTCAAGTTGGCTACAAATCTCAAAACGTACGCCGTAACTCATATTAACTTGATCCATCTTTCATAACGCCCATGGTCGATAACTGGCTTATTTGAAATGGTAAAAAAGTTTTGAACTGGTTTAGCTTTCCTTTCCTTTTGAGCATCTCGTGTAGAAGCTTGATTTAATTTCTGATTTGGCCACATTTCCTCAGGGGATGACAACCATGAAGGATCTTTCCACCACAAATCGCTCTCTTTCAGATTTCTCGATGTTACTCCACAAGTCAGTAAATCAGCAGGATTTTCCACCCCTGGACAGTGCCTCCATTTCTGCGGATCCCACGTATGTTGAATCTCTGCAACACGGTTAGCAACGAAGGTCTTCCATTGTGAGCTAAGTCCTTGAATCCAGTGAAGTCCTCACTGTCTGTCCAACAGACTACACGCTCTATTTCTTTGGAAGTTGATAATGACTCTGCAACAAATTTCAATAACCGCGAATTGATCACAGCGGCAAGCAGTTCAAGTCTGGGTAACGACACGACCTTCGCAGGGGCCACTCTAGTTTTCGACATGACAAGATGTGTGTCAACATCACCATTCTGTTGGGTTACTCTGACGTATACAACAGCACCATACGCCTTTGGTGAAGCATCTCCAAACCCATGCAGCTCTACACTTGTACCAGACTTTCCATTCTGCATAAACTAATTTCGTTTATCTTAGGCAACTCAGTCTTCCAGGCATTCCATTGTTGTAGAATGTCCTCAGGCAATTGTTCATCCCATTGTAGACCTCTGTTCCACAGCTGTTGGAACAGCATCTTAGATCTGATGGTGTAAGGGGATCCCATTGGATCAAATATTTTGGATGCATCACTCAGCATGTTCCTCTTGGTCTCGCATTCGTGCAAAAGGAACTGATTCTGCGGGATGTGGAATTCGAAGTAGTCCGTTAAAGTGTTCCAGCAGATTCCCAATGCTTTAAGTGGCTCTCTCTCACGGAAATCAATCAACGCGTTAGGTGCTCTATCTTTCTCTTCAACGTGACTGAGGACGTCCTCCGTATTACTGGGACCACTTTGTCAAATTAAACGCAGCACGATGCATTAACTCTGTCAGTTCTTTTTGCAACTTCACAGCTTCTTCTTTGTCGTCGGCTCCTGTCAGACAATCATCAACATACATATCATCCATGACCCTCTTTGCAGCTTCAGGAAACTCTAACATGAACCTTTCCGCATGATTCTGAACTGTAGCTACTGCAAGGAATGGGCTGCAGTTGACTCCGAATGCAACTCGCGTCATCCGGTATATCGTTGGGGAACCATCTATTTGCATATCTCTCCAGACATAGCGATGAACATCTCGATCCTTTTCTGCAAGCTTTATCTGAAGGAACATTTTCTCAATATCAGCCATCAGTCCAATTTTATGAGTACAAAAGCGTAACAACACCGAGACCAGATTAGGCTGTAGTGCGGGACCAGGTAAAACACAATCATTAAGCGAAACACTGTCCTCTTCACGAGCTGAGGCATCAAATACATATAGTCTTGTATAACACTGTATAGTGTCGTATAATCTTGTATAGCCTTACATACAGTAGTGTTGTATAGTCTTGTATAACATTGGATAGTGTTGTATAGCCTTGTATAGTGTCATAAGATCATTACTAAGTTCACCTGCTTACAAGATAATTATGTAGCTTTTGACAGTTCTTTGTAAAAAAAACATTATACAGGCAGACAGGATATATAATAGTGTTATGCGCTTCCACTATTAATAGTGTTATGGTATATAGGCCTACATGCACAGGGTGTATAAAAAAAAACGCAACCTCGGAATTTCCTAAGAAATCACTTTGCAATTCTTAAGCATAAAAGTTTTAGGCCCCTGGAAACTGAAATCAAATCGCTAATAGATCACATTACTGTTGTTGTGCATTAAATAAATGCATAAATTTTGCTTTATGCACTCGCCTGTGCAGTAATTTTGACAGTTGTGCTATTTTAAATTCCCAGACGCCTAAAACATTTTGTCTTTAAAACAATGTCAATTAATGCACAGTATAGTAGTGTTGTTATAGTATACATTATGTTATATTTGCATTGTTAATAGTATAAACAGTCCTTGGGTCTTGTTCATTATTTATCCATTATTAATAGTGTTATTAACTGTGAGTCATTCCAGGTTATTACTCTAGAGATGACCACACTTGACTTTGTGTCTAAGAATATTAGTGACATTAACCTTAGTGACAATCGCATAACAGCTAAATGTGTGGAGGTAGGCTCTGCGAGTCACATTATACATATATTGTCGGAGAAATAAGCCGTGGAATGACCCGTAATTTGTTAATTTTTATTAGCTACTATCGTTTGGAGTGCCCAGAAAATGACCTGTTTCATTACAGAGAACTGTTTTCTTAATTAGAATTCTTAATTTCTTAATTAAGAATTCTTAAATCTTAATTAGAATATTGTTGTAACATATATGCATGCGATTCTTATAATACAATAAAATACGATTTTTATTGTTTAAAAACTATAATAGTGTTATGTTTCCATTATAGTGTTGTTTAGTTTTGAATTATCCACGGATTATAAACAGATTTTGAACAACCTAACCCAAAGTTTTGGCCACGAGGCAGCATTTCCTTGCATTAGTAACTTCTAGTAATAATATACACTTAATGTATGCTCCCGAGGGAAATAGTTAGTTTTGTTTTCCCGAGAATCTCAATGTTTCCCAAGACGAAGTCGAGGGAAACATTAAGATTCGAGGGAAAACAAAACTATTTCCCGAGGGACCAGGCATTAAGTGTTTTGTTATATAGCGACGAACAAAAATCAACTTCAACAACATTCATATATAACAATTATATTTCGTGACGAAAACTCTATAGTGTAAACAAGTTTAAAATTAAAAGAACCTACTTAAACGGTTTCAGCAGCATATCCTGTTGCCTGTTGTGTATTTTTCTTCTCTTTTATATTCTTTATTTGAACACAAACTTGGAAAATCGTAGTTTCTACCTCCATTTTTGTTGTGCCTCCATTTTGTCTGTTTATGTACGTGGCCGGTCGAGGCGGGCAACAATTTTTCACTTGTTGCCCGGCGGGAAACATTGCATTTATCTGAACTCACATGACCACAAATCAGCCAATCACATTTGGTGTTCACGCTAGCTATATAACAATTAATAATTATGTCATCACAACAAATTTATGTTGGGTCATTTGCCTAGCCTGTGTAAATTTTCACTTAACACAAGCCATTTGTGTTGAGCGAAAATTTATGCAGGCCAGGCAAACAACCCAATATAAATTTGTTGTGATGACATAATTATCCAGGAATTAAATTATTTAAATATGGTATATTGCATAAAATAATACTATAAGTATATATATTATTCAGTTTTTTAATACAAATTTATATTACTCAGCTCTTTGTTTTTAACAACATTGTTAATTATTGTTTGAACAACTAAAAACAAGTTGTTCAAATAAGAACATTGTTAATTATTGTTTGAAAATCAAAACAACTTGTTTATTCAACAATATTGTTCAGGCATGATGATTCAACAATGCAGAACAACATTGTTCTGACAACTGTTAGCAAGTTGTTTATCAACTATTGTTGACCCCTGTTTCAAAAAGAGTTCAACAATATTGTTTACTCATCAACCTTCAACAATGTTGATGAAACAATATTAAACAATATTGTCATTTTGATATATGGCCGGCGTCAGATATGCAGAAAATCGGGAATATGTGTCGAAGATCGGGAATCCAAAAAAATCCCTTTGAAATTTCGTCCATCATTAGTTCAAATTAATTTCTCACGTGAGCTGGGTTAATTATGGACTTGCTGACAAAAAATCAAACGGAAATATGGCAAATAAAGAAAGAAATAGATATATCGCCGGCGTCATATATGCGAAAAATCGGGAATATGTGTCGAAGGTCGGAAATCCCTCTGAAATTTCGTCCTTCTTTAGTTCAAATTAATTTCTCACATAAGTTGGGTTAAGTCTGAACTTGCTGACAAAAAATTAAATGGAAATACGGCAAATAAAGAAAGAAATAGATATACGACTGGCATCATATTTTAGACAAGAATGCCGGAAATACAGAGAAATAATATTTAAGTTTAAAGTGCACGAAGATCTGCTGTTCATCCACATCCGACATGACGTCTTTTATCTTCTGATTTGTTTCGAATTACATTCTGAAGAAATTTGATCCACTGAAACATGAAATGGTATTTTTGGCCATATGTTGACAAATATGTTGTGCTCATTGTTCGACAGCAGCAATGTGGATACTCTCAATATATTGTTTTCTGAAATGGACTTGGTATGTAGATTTTTGTGGTAATGGAGATTCTACATGCAGACATTGTGTTATGATACTCAAAAGACAATGAACAAGCGAACAATGAGACGCTATATTACTTCTATTTACATTGCTAATTAAAGTGCATATGACATGATTTTTTTGTTTTCTTAAATGAAAGAACTCTTGAAGCTGTAGTGTAACTTATTTTTCAGTTTCTTGTTTTCATGTTTGTTCCCGAGATATCTCAATTTGTTTGATATGTAAATGAGTGTGAATATGTCCGCTAATTTATGACATCACGTTGGTTGCAAGCTCAACTTACACTGCTTATAAATCTATTAACTCTAAATATCTGTTCACGTTTTTCTACAGTGTTCCATCACATTTACCAGTGTGTGAAGTTAGAAATTATCATCTTGGATAATAGCTGTGATATTCAGCCATTTTGAAGAGCTTGCAACCAACATGACATCATAAATTAGCGGACACATTCATTTACATACCAAACAAATTGAAATATCTCTGAAACAAACCATAAAAAACAAGAAACTGAAAAATAAGTTACACTACAACTTAAAGAGTTCTTTCGCAAAATATGTAGAAAGCACATATAATATCGTTGATGTTGCATTTGCATTGTATAAACACTTTATAAAATAGTCTCCATCGTCATAGGAAAGCGGCGGCTAGTTATAAGTACTTTTTAGTCTGCCAAGACCACTGGATACTATTTCTAAATATTATTTAGATCTATTAGATCAGTGCTGGTATGTATATTGTATATTAAGTCATAATAGTAAAGTCGAAATGAAAATTTCGATTTATAGCATACCCCATCTTGAAAACATTACTCGGCAGGTGCTCTCGCCTGCGACACGCATTTTCCGAACCTGCCCGAAATGCTCCCTAAGCACCTGCAGAGGAGGTAGTAGGTGCACTGTCATCTGCATTGAATTGAGTTCTATTCCCAAAGAGATCAAACATGTTGTAGGGCCCTCAATCTTTTCTTTGGCCAAAGGAATACCAGTGTCGATTGCCACCTGTTTAATTGCGTGCAGCAAATGAGCTCAAACGGGCGAGGCCTGAGGGCCTAAAGTGAAGTAATCATTGAGATAATGTAATAATAACTCAGGAACTATATAATTATTGACAAGAATCCATGCAAATAGGTAAGCTTAAACTGTTAAAAATATAAGGTGCAGAGTGAAGGCCAAATGATAGAGGAAGATCAATAAAGTAAAGTTCGCACCATTTTATGCCCAACAGATAGAAATCGTCTGGATGAATTGGTATGATACGAATGGCGAAAGAAAGTCTTGGCGCGACACAGGACCTTTCATCATTCCACGACATACAAAACTGGGGACTAGTCCGGTTTCTCAATGGGTTCGGCATCAGGCATTGCCTGGGTGGATCTAAAATTACCGCAACAAGAATTAGACAATTGCGCGTAAGGTACGCAATTTTTTGCAGCTGTATGGAAGTTATACAAGTCCATTCGCATAACGCTCCAAATCCTGCAGATTAAACTTCATGACGAAAGGCGCAATCATATTGCAACCAGGCTCTGATGCCAAAATACTTGGCTCTGCGTATAATAAGCACCATGTATGCAAGTAGATTGCATGCCCGATGAGGCTGAAAAGTAACGATAACTGACACATAACTATTGAAACATTCACCCCACAACAAAATGTCCAAGTTTGATTTTATTTGACACTGGGACGATAGTTGAACCTTCAATAGCAAAGCTGGTAGTGTCCAATAGGGGTTCGTCCAAATTCTTGGGGAGGAGCTCTGTTAGTTCAATGAACTTATCAGAGAGAATTCTTGAGACCAAATTAGGTGGACTCGGGGCACGACCAAGACACCCTTGGATGTGGGGGA